ATCTGCTCAGGTCCCTTCTGACCCTACAAACTATGAAACGATGAAACTATGAAGTTACTTAACCTCATTTCCTCAGCCTCCCTCTCTGTAAAACAAAAATAAAAATGCTTCTCACTGGGCTGTTGTGAAACTCCATTAGATAACATTTGTAAATCATTTTGTGATCCTTCAATGTTAAAGTTCAATAATAATAATAATAGTAATAAAAGTTACCTAATGGAGTTTCACAGCAAAACAGTGAGAAGCATTTTGTTCTTGTTTTACTTGTACTTGTTGTTGTTATGCTACCAAAGCAAAAGGAGAATTTCCCCCTGCACACCTCCACAAGGAGATATTTATTTAAAACATTAATGTTATCAAATCTGTTTCTCTACCAGAGCCTCAGAGTAAATTCACCCTCTCCCAAATTAAGTCCCGATTCACCTCTCACTTACATCATTTCATCAGCAAAAATTGAGTTATTCTTTGCATGCTCCAGTTCATGTGAGAAGGGAATCAGATCCATATTTTCCATAAATCATTACACTGTGCAAGACAGAAAGGGCCAGATCCTCCATGTTATGAAGCAGGGAACCTAATTGTAGCTTTGTATTATTGAAGCCCTGACCCAGAGAGGAGTCCATGTTCCTCCTCTCACTGCAAAAGAATATACCATAACATTTCTTCTTTTCCAAAACTTAAACTAAAAGTTATGAGGCAAAGCAGTTACAGCATCTTGCTATGACTCTAGAGCAGTGATTCTTAACCAGGGTGCTATGGTACCCTGGGGTGCCTTGAGATCCCTTCATGGGTAATTGGGGTGCTACACAAAGTTAGCACTGTTAGGTGTGTAAACATGACTCACAAGATAAACCCAGAGTTTTCACAGAGGGATCCATAGAGTTAAAAACATTCTGACTTGTGGTCTTTCTGAGTTCTTTGCAACAGAACTGCTCTTTTTTTTTGCTGTAGTCAAAAAGTATGAAAAGTAAGAGGTGGCATTTTCCAAGGGTGCCTTGAATCTAGATTGAGTGCCTCGAGTCAATTGAGGGGTATCTCAAGTCAATAAAGGTTGAAAATCAGTGCTCTACAGGCATAGATTTGGGCTTTTCTCTGGACTTGCACCCCATTCAGCACAGCTAAAAATAGGCACCTGGTTGACTGGTGGCCAGATATGGTACTAAGCTCCATTGCTTTTTTGAGTGACATTGGCTGTAGAAACTGGTTGACCCACTAGCCTCACGAGGACCTTTGGGTGTTTTCAGGTTTTTTTTTTTAATTTTTAAATTCACCCTACAGCTCTTGGTCGTTATCACTACACCCCTGCCAGTGCATCTCTGATATCAATATGATATGATTGGCATCCTTACATCTGTGAGAAATGGTGGAAATCTCTGATATCAGAAATGAAAAAATGAGCAAGGAGTCCAGGTTTATGTTCAAGGGAAATGGAATTAATGTTTCTCCTAAAACTGAACGAACCTCTCTTAGTTTGTCCTCACAACTGGACAAACTCTAAGGACAAACTGGACAGTCTTCTTATCAGTCCAGATCCAAAGATAGCGTGCTCCATTTTTGTTTTATGTCCAGCTATCCATTTATATCATTATTATATCATGCAGATATTATTCCTTCAACATACATTTTTCATAGACCAGTCCTGTTTTAGAAAGCACAGTATTTTGCTATCAGACCAGTACCTGCTATTTTACAACAGAGGGCTTGATTCAGCATACCTGTAAGAGCTTGTGGGGCAGCTGAGTTGGGTATTGTAGCTGCATCCTGAGGGATTGAACTAATGTCAGGCTCTGGTGTGCTTCTCGGAGGAGAGATTGCTAAAGGAGTCATCAGAACACGAGACTTTAGCTGCAAGAAATAACCAGTTTGGGTCATGAGAATATACACACCATATTTTATTATTATTATTCTCTATATTTCACTCCCCTTGAACTCCCACTCATCAGCAATTTTGTTGCATCATTTTACTTCTAGCCCAGAGTCTCCTTTTGTGCTTTGAAAGATCACAGGATTTTTAGAGACGGAAACTGATTTGCAGAGTGTGGTTGCAAATATTTTCCCACTGATTTTTATGCCTAAAGAAAGTGGGCACACTAACACATCAGAATGGTAGCATCTTACATCCACTTCACTCAAGCATGAATAACTGCACCAGGATCAAAGCAGGGGAGAATCAGTCTCTTTAACTACATAGTAATTTACAACCAAATTCTGCTCATTTGCATGGGTGCAAAGGTGTTAGATCCAGTGAGGCTGCTCTGGATTGACACCAGTGTAAATAAGAACATAGTTTGGCTCTTAAAAAGGCCCACAAGTCAATGTCATGTAATTAATAAATAGTAAATGTCATTTGCTATGTAGTTATACATATTAATACTAATAATCTGCAGTATGTTTTAGAGTTGTGAAGCACCGTGATATTGTATAATACTACTGTGCCATGACCCTGACAATACCTGGTAATGGTGGTCATTTACTTTGAAAATAAGGAGTATTGATATGAGAAACACGCCTTCAACGTATCCACTCATTTCTTCTTTTGATACAGCAATGAGCTTCAGGACTTCATAACTTCTAGTACATGAAAAGTGCAGCTCCAAGGTCTAACTCATGGCACTACACAGAAAGCACCACAAGTTAGACCAATCCTCCTGACCCAGCAGATGTTAGCTGTTGCGTTGGGAGGGTGAGTGATCAAACTCCAATTTGGACTCAATCCAGGGAGACAGGACTGCAGCCTCTGCAGCTCTGTAGCCTCTTCCCCTAGCTCCAGTGCTGCCCCCCACCCCTCCCCCCAGCTCCCATTCTATCTCAGGATGGGAGGGGGAGAAGACAGGGGAGGGAGGTCTTTTCTGTGTTTCCCCAGCTGCATTTGAGTGATGGGGTCTGTGGATTGGAACCCCCTACCTTGGTGGGGCTCCAATCCATCCACCCCACTCTCCAGCGCTGGCTGGGCAACCCCCAGAATGAGCTCCCTCTGCTCCCTTCCTCCCTGTCCCATTCTGAAAACAGCACCAGGAACAGTGCTGGGTTGTGTCAGCTGAGACCTGCTCCTGGCATGTGCAGACAGAAGTTAATGAAGGTGCTCTGCTTTGGAGCACCTTCATCTGAACTCCCATGGAATGAGGGTTCAGATTGTCACGGAATCAGACCCTTTTAAAGTGCTCTTCAGCTGTGCACTTGTTTTTGGTCATGGCTGTAGAGTGCTTTCAGAGGCCATATTGGGCAAAAAGTGTCACTTCTGTGACAAATGGTGAATTTCATACGTTATAAAAATAAGTGTTTCTGGTGGATGATTTTTCTTTGTTTTTAATAGGTCCACTGGAGAATACTATAATACATTGTAAAACAAGAAAACATTCATGTTAGTACAATTTTAAGCAGTATCACTTCCAAGAGCCTTTTACCCAAACCATGTAAGATACAAATCATCCTCTACTTCATAACAGTTGCAAATACATAAAACAGACA